AGGGCAGAAGTCCCGGGGTGGGGTAGGTTAGGAGGCAGGCTGCATCCACAGAGAGTATTATTTTGCAGGGGTCTGGGAACAGCCGGCCAGGTGTTTGTTCAAGTGCCGCGATCATCTAGTGTCTTTCTGGAACTCTGGGGGCACGGGAGGCTGTGGCCCAGTCTCCCTCCCCCACGGCCACAGCCTCCCATGCCCCCAGAGTTCCAGAAACACACTAGATGATCACGGCATTTGAACAAACACCTGCACCTAGCACCCTTGGGCTTAGGGGCTCTGCTGTTGCCCTGGCTGCTGCAAGCAAGTCCCAGGGAAGACAGGTGCTGTCCTTGCGCATGTCTTCTCCCGCCCATGTCATCACCCATGAGGGCCACGTCCTCACAGGAGCTCTTAGCCCAGCCCTGGCATTTTGCTGACCAGGCACTACAGCGGGGACTGCCTCTGTGCCTGGCCTAGTGCGAAACCATGTTTGTCCCCAGGTCAGTGTCCACCTTCAGGGCCTTGGCAGCCTCCACTCTGGTCCACAGTGCCCTCAGCACACCTCGTCTCAGGGGTCTGCCTCAGTGCGCTCGGGGGCCACCCTCCCCATGTCCAGCACAGGGCATCGGGTATGGGTGTGGGCTTCAGAGTTAGATGACCCGTTTGAATCCCAATCTTGCCACTTACTTGCCTGACCTTGGACATTTTTTTGGGGAGGGGTCTCACTGTGTCACCCAGGCTGGAGTGCAGTGGCACGATCATGGCTCATCGTAGCCTCAACCTCCTGGTCTCAGGCAATACTCCTCCTCAGACTACCAAGTAACTGGGACTACAAGTGTGTACCACAACACTTGGCTACTTTTGGGATTTTTTGTAAAGACAAGATTTCGCTATTTTGCCAGGCTGGTCTCGAACTCCAGGGCTCAAACGATCCTCCTGCCTCAGCCTCCCAAAGTGCTGGAATTACAGGCATGAGCCACCTCACCGAGCCTGGCCTCAGACACTTCTTGAAAGTCTCTTGAGCTTCAATGTTCTCATCTGTGAAGGGGGGAGATAATGATCTCTTCCTGTAAAGCTGGGGTGAGATGCAAATGAAGTGACCTGGTTAGTACACTGCCTGGTGTGTGCTAGGCACGTGGAGTTCTCCTGCCAATGACCCTCTCCGATGCTGACTTTTGTCTCAGGTAACAGGAACACCCTCGAAAGGCTTTGATGAGAAGGCATACCTGTCAGTCAAGCAGCTGAAGGCTGGAGAGGACCCCTACAGGCAGCATGCCTTCAACCAGCTGGAGAGTGACAAGCTGAGCCCAGACCGGCCCATCCGGGACACACGCCACTACAGGTACAGCTCCTGCAGTGTCCATGGGGAAAGAGAAGTGACAGGCCAAGGTCATTTCTCTTTCACTCGCAGCAATTCAGCCTGGTGATTTAGATGTCCGGGCCCCTCACTGTTGGCTGCTTTCTGACTCCTGTTTATGTCATTGACCTGCTGAGGCCTGAGAAGCTGAGGACACACCCAGCTGGGGCCAGCAGGCCTGCAGCGTGTCTGGCATCCCAGTGAGATGACCTGCAAGGGACCACGGGGAGGTTCTCTGTGGGTGAACCAGGGGTTCTCAGTGCCCTGCTGGTGGTGCCCGTGGTAGAGGGGCTCTGGCCCTCCGCAGTGCAAACAGTGGAGTGCTCTGCACCGCTCTTTTTTTTTTTTGAGTTGGAGTCTCACTCTGTCGCCCAGACTGGAGTGCAGTGGCCGCTCCCGGCCACCGCAGCCTTGCCTGCTGGGCTCTGGCGATCCTTCCGCCTCAGCCTTCCGAGTAGCCGGAATTACAGGCGCGCGCTACCACGCCCGGCTAATTTTTTGATTTTATTGTAGAGATGAGGTCTCTCTGCCCAGGCAGGTCTCGAACCCATGGGCTCAGGCAATCCACTCACCTCAGCCTCCCAAAGGTGCAGGATTACAGGCTGAGCCACCGAGCCCAGCTTTGCACTGCTCTTTTAATGTCCCTTTCCCTCCTTTCCTCCTGCCCCACCGCTCCACCTCCTCAGCATCCCCTGGAGGTGCTTCCAGTCTCTTTTTTTTTTTTAGTTGGTATCTTGCTCTGTTGCCCAGGCTAGAGTGCAGTGGCATAATCAATCACAGCTCACTGCAGCCTTGAGCTTCTGAGTGCAGACAATTTTCCTACCTCAACCTCTTGAGTAGCTGAAACTACAGGGAGGCACCACTATGCCTGCCTTTATTTTTTTGTAGAGACAAGGTCTATGCTATGTTGCCTAGACTGGTCTTGAGCTCCTGGGCTCAAGCAATCCTCCTGCCTGGGCCTCCCAAAGTGCTGGAATTACACGCATGAGCCACTCTGCCCGGCCTCTTCCTTGCTTGCACACACTGTTTCCTCTGCCTATACACACTGCCCCCCCCCACCTACGTCCCAGACGAGGACTTCTGGGGAAGTTCCTCTGCATCCCAGCTCGTTAGGCCCTCCTCTGTGCTCTGGGCAGACCTCTAGTGGAGGGAGCGGCCAGACGCCATTGGAGCACATCCCCCACTGTGCCTGCAGCTTCGTGCTCAGCGCTGGGCTGGATGCTTAACTGGTCCTGGCTCCGGGGTGGGCAATGATGACTTGGGTCGTGACCGCTTTTTCCTCCGAAGCGGCTATTCCACAGCACAAAGGATGTCTGAGATGAGGGTTCGGAGGGGACCTAGTTCTAGCACTCCGTGTCACACACAGAGGCAGGCCTGATCAAGCCCAGGGCCTTTCCGGTGTCCTGTGCAAGGTGAGCTGGAGGCAGGGCTGGCAGAGCCCCAGGCCTGGGCTTGCTGTCCTGTGACCCCAGCATCATCAGCATCCAGAGCCTTGTGTGCTACCGACTGCAGCAGCAATCCTGTTGGGCAGTGAGGCCCCACCAGGGCTAACGGCCATTTCTGGACTGAGAAATCCTTTCTTGGAAGTCCCAAGGCATGTCCCCGCATGTCCCCCAAGCTGTGACAAGGTCATGTCCATGCAGCTCCACTTGGAGACCTCTCACGGGCAGCCTGGCCATGCTGACCTTGTCCCCAGGGCCCAGAGGGTCTGCTGATCTGAATCTGAGGCTGGAGGGCTTGGCCTGGAGGCTCTTGTCCTCCCAGCCCATCCCCACCCTGCACCCTCTCGGCAGTCCCTGGGAAATGTTGGAGGAATTGCCCCAGGGACCATGACCATGTTAGATGAGACTCTAAATGCAGGCAATGGTGGGACAACAAGGGGCCGTGTGCTGCTCCTGGGCTGTCGGAAGGCCCAGGTGGGTCAGGGTGTGTGCGCACATGTGTGTGTATGTATGCCTGTGACTGTGTGTGCATGTGCATAGGTGCCTGCATGTGTGCAGTGTACACACGCACACACACACATGTGTGTGTGAGTGTGCCCATGTGTCTGCATGCATGCGCTTACATGTGCACACATGCATGCACATGCATATGTGTGTATGTTATGGATGTGAATAATTGTGTGTGTGGTGTGTGTGCATGTACATGTGTGCATGCATGTGCTGGCTTGGGGTCAGGCTCCCCTGTGGGGCCAGTGTGCTGCTCTGAGCTCATAGGATCTGCTGGACTCCCAGTGTCAGGCTGGTCTCTGGCCCAGCCCTCACTCCAGGCTGCCCTCCTGGAGGGGAGCTGAGGACCGTAAAGCACCTGAGACAAACTTACCAGGATCTCAGGGAAAGCCCACCAGCCCCAGACTCAACACGCAGGTATGGAACACAGCTCCTCAGGGGCTCTGGCTCCCGGAGCCAGAGCCAGACACACCCCATCCTCAGAGATACAAATCCCAGCGAAACATAGGGTGGAGAGGGCTGGAGGGTGGGGGGAGCTGGAGTCCATCCCCAGATGGGCTGTGGGTAGATTTGCCCCCTTTGGGGAGAGACTGGGCTCTCCAGATTCCCTCTTTCCTGGGCACCAGCTGGTTGGGGGACAAGGACAGAGAGCGGGTGCCCTGGAGGGCAGTGCTGAGATGCTGGGCGCCCTGGGGGTGTTGGCTTCTCCAGCACAGCTCCCCTCCCAGCCCACTCCTGCCCTCTACAACCAGCACAGGCCCTGGGAGAGCTTGGCTTCTCAGGGGCAGGAGAACGTTCCACCCCACTGCTCCCTTCACCCCTTTCCAGGAAAATTTCTGTATGGCCTCTCGAGGTTCCCCTGATGTGGGGCTCCCAGGCTGGGGGTGCTCCGCCTGTCTGACATGGGCCTGGGAGCCATGAGCCGCTATGGGTAGAATGAATGATAATGAGAACAGTTTCGGCTGGAATAGTCAGGGAGCGATTGCAATAAAGGAGATCATTCGGAAAGCCTCCACGGAGGCCACCTCCTGCCGCCAGAGTGGGGACAAGTGCATTTGCAGAGACAGAATGAGCCTGGGGAGGGTGGTTTCACCTCCATTTCCTGAGGAGCAGAGTTAGCAGACCCAAACGTGGTGTCTATTAGGGGCTGATGGGGTGGGAAACGACTGGTGTTTTCTCAGAGGCCTGTTTCCTCCAGGGGACCTCTGAGACCCCAGAGCAGCGAGGCTACCCCTAGCCCAGTGTCTGTGGCCAGCGGTCAGTGTCGGGTGTGGGGAGGAGTCCCCGGTAGCAGGGTGGGGTGATTTCTCTCCAGATCTCACTAAGTGTCCCGAGCTGCTGGGGGAAGAGAAAGAACAAGTCTCAGGGTGTCAGAGAACAGAAGATAGGGCTTCCTCTCGCATGCCATCCCAATTTTGCCTCATGTCCCTGCCATGTTGGGCAGGGGGTTCTGTCCTTTGGTCAGGACTGTGCCTGGGCCTGGTGTGGGCCTCTGTTGGGAAGGGAGCTTGGGCCTGGGAGCTCAGTCTGTGAGCTGCTGTCAGTGCTCCCTCTTCAACACCGGGTGGACACAGGGGTCTGGGTGCCCTGGTTTTTGGTGTAATCCCCCAGCCTGCCACTTCCCTTCGCAGGCCCCAACTGGGTGCCTCTGGGTATGCAGGGCAGGTCCTTTGGCCCAGCTTGGTGTGCCTTCTCGTCCCCCTGGAAGTATCCAGAGAGCAGTGGACTGGACCAAGAAAAGCCTAGTGCCTGTCCCGAGCAGGCCCACCCAGCCTCTGACCCCTGCTTTCTCCTCAGTTGCCCATCTGTGTCCTACTCCTTGGACCTGCCGGCCACCAGTGTCGTCATCACCTTCCACAACGAGGCCCGCTCCACTCTGCTGCGCACGGTCAAGAGGTGAGCCTGGCTGTGGCCCCTCATTCCAGCGGCACTGCTCCTGGGCTGGGGCTGTCTGAGGTGCCACTGGCAGGGGGGGCATTGGGAGCACATGCTGGGGCCAGACAGTGTGAGGCCAGTGGCACTGGAGGACAGCCTGTCCTTCTGAGAAGCTGGGGCTGTGAATCAAGGTCAGGAAGACCCCAGAAGTCCACCTGTTACAGAATCGCAGCGGTCACACTCAAGGCCAGGCAGAAAGGCAGGGAGTGCAGGGTCATGAGCAGAGGGAGGCAGGGCTGGGCACAGGGCCTTGGGGTGGAGGGCAGCCCAGCGGGTGTCTGTTAGCTGGTCAGAGGGAGGCAGCCTTCTGTCCTCCTAAGCGAGGGCTTGTGGTCAGGTTGAACCGCTCTCACCCAGCTCCTCAATGAACTTAGGCAGGGATGGGGCCTGAATAGGAGTGGCCAGGTCTTCCAGGGACTCAAGAAACCTGGGTCTCCTTTCCCAGGGAGTGAAAGGAGAAGAGTAAGGTAGGTGGGAGGGAGGGGGCCTCCTTGGGAACACTATGAGGCTGGAAGGAGCCTCACTAGCCCTCTGGGCTGGCTGGCTGGGGTTGTCCCTGGGCAGGGCTTGGGGAGCCCCAGGCCGCTCCAGCAGCTCATCTGGGGCGCACCCCCAATCTGAGGGGGGGCTCAAGTGCCTGAGGTCCCAGGCAGCAGGGTTGTCCGTCCCTGGAAGAGCCTAGAGCATGCTGCTTCTCGGCCACTGATCAGGGCCTGGGAAGCTTTCTAGCTGTTGTCCACGGTGGAGGTGCTGGCCCCAGACTGGGCGGCACAGGGAGGGGACAGTGCAGGTCAGCCCCTGAACCTGTGCTCCTTCTCTGTCCCTGCGGCTCCTCCAGTGTCCTGAACCGAACACCTGCCAACTTGATCCAGGAGATCATCTTAGTGGATGACTTCAGTTCAGATCGTAAGTACACACCTTCCTATTTGCCCCCCTACAGAGATACCCCTCTTCCCCAGAATGTGGGGCAAACAGGTCCTTTGGCTCAAGGGTGTCCTGGCTGCCACAGATGACCTCTCGGCCCTGCAGTGGGAATCCTGGTCTTTTCTAGGACCCCTCCCTGGCCCTGCTCCCTGGTACCAGAGGAGGGAACAGAAGAGTGGGTATTGCTCTGGGTGGGACACCGGTGAGATGGCATTTTTTAGAAACAGAAGCAACATCCGTCGCATCTTCAAGTGTAATGACTGCCAGGCGGGGGTACTGGATGGTACTGCTGCTGGTGTAGCCTCTCTCTGCCACTCCCTGGGCCGGGTGGGCTCTTCAGCCTGGCTGCGAGAGGGGCAGCCACTCCTCAGCCAGCAGTGATGGCCACGCCCCTCTGTCCTCCTAGGCCAGCCCCTTCCCCAGCAGGGCTGCCCCGGGCAGTTCCTGGGCAGCCCAGCCACCTGTAGTCAGCGCCCGTGTGCCAGTGACCTTGTCTTCCCTCTCCCCAGCGGAGGACTGTCTACTCCTGACCAGGATCCCCAAGGTCAAGTGCCTGCGCAACGACCGGCGGGAGGGTGAGTCCTCGGCCCCAGCCCTCCCCAGCGAGCCCCTATCGGTGCCGTCCTCTGCACCCCTGCAGCATGCCAGGCCAGCGGGCCCTCCACACTCCTGGTGGCTGGGACCAGGCCCTGCCGAGGACCCTCCCCCAGCCCGGCTCCACCCCACGCACGACACACCTGTAGGCAGCTCTCTCCATTTCTGGCCACCTCGGTGGTCTCCTGAGAAACGGGAGAAGGGCAATGCCCTTTCTGCATTGCAAGGGGTGGTTGAAATTAAGTGAGATGGGCTGCGTGGACAGGCTTTGAGAAAGTCACTGCCAAGTATAAGGCAGATGTGACCTCACTCACTTCCAACTGAGGGGCATGTGCAGGGACCTGAGAGGACCCAGAAGGAGTACAGAGCTGGGTGCGGTGGTGCACACCTGTGGTCCCAGCCACTTGAGAAGCTGAGGCGGGAGGATCTCTTGAGCCCAGGAGTGCAAGACCAGCGAGGGCAATATAGCAAGACCTTGTCTCTACAATCATGAAAAATTAACTGACTATGGTGGCTGTATTTCCTGCCACTCAGGAGGCTGCCGGGGGGAGGCTTGCCTGAGCCCAGGAGTCTGAGGCTGTGGTGAACTGTGATCATGTCACTGCACTCCAGCCTGGGCAACAGAGTAAAACCCTGTGTCTAAATAAGTAAATAGATACATGTTACGAAAATTTTTAAAAATTAAAAAAAAGTTCGCTGTGTGGCTCCCACCCTGGAAGGGCTTGCAACACAGTAACAGGCTGGGTGTAGGTCTGTGTGAAAAACACGGAGATGGGAGGAGAATTGGAGAAGTGGGTGGGTCCTCCAGGCAGGAGAGGGAGGGCCTCAACCAGCTGGGGGTACCATGAGACAGGCAAAGGGGGCGGGGGCAGGCCTGGCGTGGTGTGCACACATCACACGGACACCCTCCTGCGGCCCCCACCCTTGGGGCACCGTCTGGCCCACGTTCCCACATTCTCTCTCAAGTCCAGCCTTCAGAACAGCCCACAGCCTCCCCTTGCAGATCAGGAAAACTGGGGTTTAAGGAGGCTCAGGGATTTTTCCAGAGTGAATGGGGGTCAACCTCTGAACCCCCCTCTACTCATCCTGCCTTCCTGGGAGGGCCCAGACCTGCTCAGCAGGGGGAGATGACAGAAGGCCTGACAGGCAGGGACCATGAATCTTCTAGATAAGAAAACTCAGGCCCAGAGAGTTTGGATAACGTGCTCAAGGTGAGGGAAGGGGCTGGCACACAGACTCAAGCCTGTCTCCATCTAGAAGGTTCTCTCCACACTGCACCTGCAAGGGTGGCTGGAGGGGATGCTTGGAGGCGCCCAGTGGAAGAGGTTTTGCTTTTGGGTTCTCTGTCAGCACCCAACCACACCTCACTGCACCTCCCACCATCTGAACTGTGACCGCTTACCGGTGTCCCTGGAGCCCGGCGTCTGTCGTATAGAGGTCTCTTGGGGACGGCCCTGGAGTAATAGTGGCTGGTGGATGGACAAAAAGAGGAAAAGGAGGGAGAGAGAACTCAACAGGAGGACTCCCCAAGTCCAGGCACAGAGGAAGCCCGAGCCCCTGCAGGGGTCGGGGCCTGGAACCTTGGGGATGGTTGGCACAGTCCTGGTGCCGAGCCCTGTCTGTCCCTGATGCAGGGCTGATCCGGTCCCGAGTCCGCGGGGCAGACGTGGCGGCTGCTGCCATCCTCACCTTCCTGGACAGCCACTGTGAGGTGAACACAGAGTGGCTGCAGCCCATGCTGCAGCGGGTGAAGGAGGTGAGTCTTAGGGAGCAGGCATCCCTGGGGGTTGCGAGGGTGTGGAGGGTGGCCGTTGAAGCTGGGCAGGCACCAGAGGAGGCCCAAATACTCTGTGTCTCCTGTGGGGTACATGTGGTATGTGTCCCGCTGGTTGTCATGAGGATAAAGTTGGACAAAAGCCTGCGTGGGCTCTAGTTGCTCCTGTGCACAGGCATTGTTTTCTCCAGGAAGAGGCCAGTTCCTGTGCTGGGGGAGCCTCTGGCCAGGCTGGGAAACCCTGGAGTCAGGGAGGAAAGGAACTGTTCTTAGCGGGGAGAGAACAGGAGGGCACCCACCGTGTGCTGCAGTCCCCCAAACGGAGGATGAGGACATTAGCAGGAGAGGACGAGGCATTGCCACCCACCATGAAAAGAGAAATAACCCAGTTTAAAAACAGGCAGAGGACCTGTGTAGACATTTCTTCAAGGAAGATACACAAATGGCCAGTGAGCCCATGAAAAGATGCTCACCGTCTTTAATCGTCAGGAAATGCAAGACAAAAACCACAGTGGATGGCTCTCACCAAAGTCTGACAATAGCAAATGCTGGTGAGGATGTGGAGACACAGGAGCTTTGTGCATTGCCAGTGGGAATTAAAATAGCACAGCCACGTTGGAAAGCAGCCTGGCAGCTCCTCGAAAGTTTAAACATAAATTGATGGCAAGGGACAGTGGCTCATGCTTGTAATCCCAGCACTTTGGGAGGCCAAAGCAGGAGGATTGCTTGAGCCCAGGTGTTCAAGATCAACCTGGGCAACATAGCGAAACCTCATCTCTGCAAAAAAGCAAAATGTTAGCAGGGTGTGGTGGCGTGCACCTGTTGTCCCAGCTACTCAGGAGGGTGAGGTGAGAGGGTTACTGAGGCCAGGAGGTTGAGGCTATAGTGAGCCATGATTGTGCCACTACATTCCAGCCTGGGGGAGAGAGTGAGACCCCGACTAAAAAAAAAAAAAAAAAAAAAAACTAGACTAAAAATAAAACTGGCTGGGTGTGGTGACTTAAGCCTGTAATCCCAGCACTTTGGGAGGCTGAGGTGAGAGGATTGGCTGAGCCCAGGGGTTTGAGACCAGCCTGGGCAACTTGGTGAGACCTCATCTCTACAATATATCAAAAAATTAGCCAAGTGTGGTAGCATGCTCCTGTAGTTCCAGCTATTTGGAAGGATGAGGTGGAAGGATCGCCTGAGCCCAGCAGGTCAAGGCTGCGGTGGCTGTGAGCGTGCCACTGCACTCCAGCCTGGGTGACAGAGTGAAATAAAATAAAAATAAAAAAAAACAACTAAAACTAAAAACAGTTCAAACTGGCAACAGAAGAGCCACCTCAGACAGTGTGGCAATAGCAGCTTAAAAAGGGAAGAAATCCTTCGGCCTGCAACAGCCAGGGAAGGCTTCATAGAGGAGGTGAGATCCCAGCACACGGGTAAGCACAAGGGAGCCAGGAGGAAACTTCCAGGAACTCTGGGGGTGGTGACACAGGCAGCCCCTGGGAGCCTGCCCAGGCTTGGGGTGGTCCTAGTGCACCGCCCCCGTGTCTCAGGGAGGCCTCCTTGGGCCTCCTCCCACCAAGGTGCCCAGGCCTCACACCCTTTGGCTTCCCTCCTAGGACCACACCCGTGTCGTGAGTCCCATCATCGACGTCATCAGTCTGGATAACTTTGCCTACCTTGCAGCGTCTGCTGACCTGCGCGGAGGTGGGTCCTGCTGGTGGGGGGAGGGTCTAGACCCAAAAGGAGGTGGGTGCGGGCAGGCCAAACCCCTGCGTTGTACTCCCCCTAGCTGTGCCAGAATCTCTCATTCTCCCACACCTGCCACCTCCAAAGAGAAGATGAGAGGGGGTAGGGTGGCCTTGGGGCTGGGGACAGGGGCCAGAGGGGGCCGTTGTGGGCGTGTCAACAGCAGCCCTAGGCCATCTCTCACCTCTCCCTCCCTCTCGGCCTTGATGAGCTCCTCCCAAATGCTACTGGCCCAGGGACCACGGCCACAGTCCGGCAGAAGGTTCTGACTCGGCAATTGTCATGGGGGTGGGGAGGGGGTGCCTTTAGGCTGTAATGCTTCTTGAACCCCTCAGACATGGACAAGCCCTGGCCTGCAATACGGTGACCACGAGCCACATCTGACTGTTGAACTCCTGATGTGTGGCTCGTCTTATAAAGTGACTAACTGGAGTTGGGGTATGCTGTGAGCGTAGGCACACCCGGGTTCCAAGACTTGGTGTGAGAGAATATACAATGTCCCACTGGCAATTTTTGCATATTGATGACATGCTGAAATGATAGTATTTTGGAGATATTACATTACAATATTGTATTCCATATTCAATATTAATTTCATATGTTCTCTTTTCTGATGTGGTTATTAGAACATTTAAAATGACATATGTGGCCAGGCATGGTGGCTCACGCCTGTAATTCCAACACTTTGGAAGGCCGAGGTGGGAGGATTGTTTGAGACCAGGAGTCTGAGACCAGTCTGAGACATAGCAAGAAAACATCTCTAAGAAAAATTAATAATTAAAAAAAAACAACTGGGCATGGTGGTATGTGCCTGTCGTCTTAGCTACTTGGGAAGCCTATGAGTCTAAGGCTGCAGTGAGCTATGATTGCACCACTGCACTCTAGCCTGGGCGACAGAGCAAGACCATGTTTCTAAAAAATAAATAAACAAAATGAAATAACATACAAGAGGGGAACCAGGAGGGAAACAGGAATTATTTTTTTGGAGGACAGGCCCCTTGTAGTACAGGCCTCCCCCATGAGGTAAGTGTTCCAGGAACCCATCAGGATCTGTGTACCAGCTAGCATTGTTGTGAGAGGCTGCATTCGACTTCAGTGAATTTTTTTAGAGATTCTTTCAACACATTTGCCCATTTCATGATGGGTGATTTACGAGCGCACCTGCCCACACCACACTGAGTGTTCAGCAGTTTTTGACCAACAACCACATGATCCCCATGCCTCACCCTCCCTATTCACCCTATCTTGCTCTGAGCAACTTCTTTTTTGTTTCCTGGATGAAAAAAGTCCCTGATGTGGAAAAGGTGAAACAAAAAATGGCAGAAGCACTAAGAGGCATCAAAATTAATAAGTTTGAAAACTGTTTTGAAATGTGGTACATATACACAATGGAATATTATAAAGAAGGACAAACATATGGACTTCGCAGCCACTTGGATGGATTTAGAGTCGATCATTTTCAGTGATCTATCACAGAAACAAAGAACAGAGTACCATATGTTTTCACTCATAAGCAGACTTTGAACAATTATTATAATACTATAGGAAAGGGATTGGCAGTCGTAGGAAACTGTCAGAGGAGAGGGGGTGGGATTGGCAGTTGAGGGAAACTGCCAGGGGAGGGAGGGGCACACCTCATCAACAAGGGTACCTGTATAATCAACGTTTGTATAGATAACCCCGAATTGTACCCCCACATATTTATAATAAAAAATAAAAATAAAATAAAATGAATTTAAAAAAAAAGAAAATTGTTTTGAGCAGTGAAAAAAAGCATCTCGATAGGTGTATTGCATTCAACGGAGAGAGAGTCCTTTGAAAGAGACTGATGCTTAAACATGTAAGAATAAATACATGGTTTTCATAAATATATTCCAGGGTTTTTTGGGTCCCCCCCTTGTATATGGCTTATGTGTGTGGCTTGTATTGTATTTCTTTTAGGCTGTTCAGTACAGCAAACAATAGCTGCATTTGGCTCTTTAAATGTAAATGAATTAAAATTAAACAAAAGGTAAAATTCCATTCCTCAGTGGCCTACTCCACATTTCAAGTACTCAATAGCCACATGAGGTTAGCGGCCGCCCTGTTGGCCAGTGCAGATGCAGACGTTTCATCCCCACAGAGGGTTTTGTTGTACAGTGCTGCTATGGAGAGCCTGTGGCTGGGGGCTCCTGGCCATGATGGGCCTCCTCTTTGGGGTCTGGATCCCCACCACACGGACCCACCATTGGTTAGATCTTTGGGCTGGATGGGATTCTGAAGGGAGCCAGGCATCTTGCCTTCAGGAAGTCACCTCAGGGCCTTTGCACTTGCTGTTGCCCCTGCCTGGAATTCCCTTTCCCAGATGTCAGGTCTCTCCACAAATGTCACCTCATCAGGGGCTCTTTCCTGACTACTCTTACTGAACTAGAATGGGGACTCTCCCTTTCTTTTCTGTTTTTAGCACTTTTCACCCCCAGCTGATGTATTACCCATCTATTTACATGTCTTCACAGTCTCTGTCTTGCCAATAGATTGTCATCTCCTCTAGGGCATGGCTGGCCTCTTTCTGAATGCAGGGGTGGCTGTACAAATTGCCCGGGGCCCTCTTTGAGCTGGGCTGAACAAGGGAGACTGAGGGTGGAGGCACAAGGGCGTCCCTGCCCCAGTGGGCTCTGCCCTCAACGCTGTCCTCCCTTTTTCTCCCTCAGGATTCGACTGGAGCCTGCATTTCAAGTGGGAGCAGATTCCCCTCGATCAGAAGATGACACGGACAGACCCTACCCAGCCCATCAGGTCAGGCTGTTGTGGCTCCGGGAGACCCTTCCCTCCCTGAGTCGGGTCCCGGGAAGCTCTTGGGAGGCTGCATTCGCTCCCGGAGTTTGGGGCTGCACAGTCTAAGGACTGGCTCTGCTCTGGGGACTTGGACCCTGCCCACAGTGACAGAAGGGACAGAGGCCATGGGCGCCGCTGTGGGGGCTGGGGAACTGACCAGACACCCTGCCCTGTGATTCAGCAGGCCGAGGCTCTGGGGGCAAATGCCATGGGTCCCGGGGCATTGAGAGGAGCCCCTGCTGTCTCGGGCTCATGTGTTGCCTGCTCCCTCTCCCTGCTCCCAGGACGCCTGTCATCGCTGGAGGAATCTTTGTGATTGACAAGTCCTGGTTTAACCACCTGGGGAAGTATGACGCCCAGATGGATATCTGGGGGGGAGAGAATTTTGGTGAGTTGGGAAATAACACTACAAACAGCAGCATAATCAGCACGCATGGTGGCACGCTCCTGTAATACCAACTACTTGGGAGACTGAGGCAGGAGGATCGCTTGAGCCCAGGAGTTGGCAGCTGCAGTGAGCTGTGATGGGGCCACTGCACTCCAGCCCAGGCGACAGACCCTGACTCAATAAATGGGCGGCGGGGGAGGGGCTAGTATACCATGTGGGCAGCCGTGGGGGCTCCCAGGGGCAGTGTCGTACCTGGCAGGGCTATGACTGCTGGGAGCTGTGGCCACCAGAGCTCTGAAGGACGAGGAGGGAGCTGTGGTCTTGGGGCCTGTGCAGCCGGCCCACAGCACCCAGGTGGAGGGGTCAGGAGCTAAACATCCACCCTTACCTGCCCCCACCCCGACACCTTCCACTGGTGCCTCCGGCAGGCAGAACCCCTCAGCCAGAGGGAAGGAGGCCCACAGGGGCAGCCTGCCAAACAGAGGGCGATGGAGAAGGGGGAGAGCCATTCCAGGGTCGCCCGGGCCCAGGCAGGTACACTGTTGCCTGCAAAACCGTGGCCCCCGCCCTCAGCGGAGTGGGCGCCCAGTGTTTCCGGTTTCATCCTGCCCAGGTTGCTTGCAGTAAGGCCAGAGGCCTCTCACCCACTGGGCAGGCGAGAGAACAGAGGTGGGTGCTGCCTCCCAGGTTCCCACCAGGCAAGTCCACGTCTAGCGGGTGCACACAACTTGACCGGAGCCACTTGAGTGCGGTGGGGTGTTGCCAAAGTCACAGCCTGTGCCTCTGAGAGGTCAGGAGTGGGCCCCTTGTCCTCTGTCTCCTTGATCTGGAGCAGAAGCGAGCTATGGGGCTTTCAGCAGGCCTGATCCCCATTGCACACCAGCCGGCGTGGGAATGGGCATGGGATTATCTCTCCCTGGGGACTCCCTCTTGGCAGTGTCTCTGAGCGCGTTTGGAGGAGTGAATTCTGAGAACTGGGGTTGAGCGACCCTTCCATTCTGTACTCCCTGCATGTGTTCTGGGCCCAAGTGACCTCCGGTGTGTCCTCGATCCCAGCCTGAAGGGGGAGTTTTGGCAAAGCCAGTTTCCTGTAAAGGCTTAGAAAGCTGGGAAACCATGTCTCCCTGAGCCCAGAGGCTGTTTCTTTTCTTTTCTTCTTTTTTTTAGACCAGGGACTGACAGAGAAGCAAGTGAGTGATCAAATAGCTGACTTCAAACTCTGCCTGAGGCAAGGCTCCATGGCTGGGGAGCTTGAAAGGTGACCGTGGAGTGGTTCTGGCAAGGGTTTTGTTTCTTAGAAGAAATTCAAAGAAAAGTCTAGGCTGGCTGCAGCGGTCAGGCATTCTGCTGCTGGGGCCAGTTTTGAGCTGTAGACTCCTGTTGCTGGCAGGTTTGAGCCTTTCAATTTATTTCTTTGTTGAAGGAAGGGAGATACCCAGACTGAGATGTGTTCCTGTGTCCCCAGAGATCCAAGCTCAGAAGCCCCAAGACCCCCTCGAGTGGAGTTTGTGAATGTGAAAACCACGAGGTGCACGTTAGGGGCCCTTTCCAAACAGATCACGGGGCCCCTCTGCTCAAAACCCCACAAGGGTTCGAGTGCGGTGACTCCTGCCTGTGATCCCAGCACTTTAGGAAGCCAGGGTGGCAGGATCGCTTGAGCCCAGGAGTTCAAGACCAGCCTGAAACACAGTGAGACCTTGTCTCTACAAAAAACAAAAAAGTATTTTAATTAGGCGTGCCGGTGTGCACCTGTAGTCCCAGCTACTTGGGAGGCCGAGGGGAGAGGATCACTTGAGCCCAAGAATTTGAGGCTGCAGTGAGTTATGATGATGTCACCGTACGTCAGCTTGGACGGCAGACTGAGACCCTGTCTCGAAAAGCTAAAACAAAAATGAAAAAACCTCGCAGCAGTTCCTATGTCACCCGAAGCAAAACCCGAAGTCCTTGCATGGACCACCAGGCCCTGAGCTGTCTGCCTTTACCCCCAGCCCACATGAACTCTGCCCTCCCTCGCGTCTCCCATCTGCCTCCTCGTGGCTCCTAGACCCTGCCGGTCAAGTGCTCGCCTCTGGACACTCGCCCTTGCTGTTCCGTCTGCCCAATACTTACAGCCACATAACTCGCTCCCTCACTGTTCACAGGTGCCCCTCTCAGTGAAAATGCTCCAGTCAGCCTCATTTAACAGCACACCCCACCACGGCCACCCCACACTTCCTCCCTGCCCACCTGATCACTTGTTCTCCACTCACTTATCTCTTGCTTACTTGTGTTTTTTGCTTCTTATTTCACTGAGCTCCCGTCTCGCCCCCTAGAGTATGAGGATCTAGAGTGGTGTGTGGCATACGGTAGGCACTCAAACATGGTTGGTGAACTAAGGAAGTGGATTCAAAGGGTGCAGCTCCCTGTGACCCTGATGTTGCAGTTCAGCAACTGAGTGTTGGCTGACCTTACAGAGGTTGTTAATGTCTTTGAACTTCATGGTCCTTTTTAAAAACCTAAGTGTGGCTGGGTGCGGTGGTTCACACCTATAGTCCTAGTATTTGGGGAGGTCAAGGTGGGAGGATTACTTGAGCCCAGGAGTTCAAGACCAGCCTGAGCAATATAGTGAGACCTTGTCTCTCTAAAAAAAAAAGAAAAAAGAAAATTAGGCAGGTGTGGTGATGTGTATCTTAGAGCTAGCTACTCGGGAGGCTGAAGAGGGTGGATCCCTTCAGTCCAAGAGTTGGAGGCTGCAGTGAGCTGTGATTGTGCCGCTGCATTCCAGCCTGGGCAACAGAGTGAGACCCCAACCTAAAAATAAAAGAAAACAAAAAAACCTAAGTGTGGCAATACTGACTCCCTGTGGTTTCAGTGTGAATTAGATATCAGAGGGAGAGAGCAAGGCACATAATACATGCTCAGTAGATGGGTGAGGGTCCTTCCTATTGTTCTTGCTGTTGCTGATAATCATCGCAATAGCTAATAACAAGGAGAGCATGGGTTGAGTGAGATGAGGTGGCTTAACTGCATAAGGAAGTTGGTCTGGCAGGAACAGAACCAAAATGCAGATCTTCTGTCTACCAGGGTGGCCCCCTGCTCCAGACCTCAGGGCTCTTGGTGGTGGTGGGGGGTTGGCAAGAAGGGGACACATGTGCCTGGAGCTATGCGCAGACCAGGGAAGCCCACTCATAGAGCCCGCACTGGGTGTGGGTCAGGGGTGCTGAGTATTCTATCCAGAAGCCCGTGGGGCTTCTGGATGTGGTCTGGTGCATGCAGGCTGGCCAGGAGTGAGCCCTCATCCTGCTTCCTGCACATCCCACTTTGCTAGTCACCAGGACAGCCCATCTGGCTGAGCCAGGAGAGCACTCCCACACCTGACTGGAGGCCACTAGTGTCTTTAGGGCCAACTGGGAGAGGAGAGAGGGTCCTGGGCTGGAACTCATGGGAGGATGTTCTTTTCTCTTTTTTAAGTTAAAAAACCAAGGTGCCAGCATGGTGGCTCATGCCTGTCATCCCAGCACTTTGGGAGACTGAGGCGAGAGGATTGCCTGAGCCCAGGGATTGGAGACCAGCCTGGGCAACATGGCGACACCTCGTCACTACAATAAATAAAAAATTAGCTGGGAGTGGTGGCTGGGAAAGGTAAGGTGGAGGATCGCCTGAGCCCAGCAGATCGAGGCTGCAGTGGCTATGAGCATGCCACTGCTCTCCAAACTTGGCCACAGAGTGAGACTCCAAGAAAAAGTAAAAGAAAAACAAGAGTCGTGGACTTTCTGGGCCAGGAAAGAAGGGTTAAAATGTCACAAGATCTCCAGTTACAGGGCTAGTGGGAGGGGCAGCAGGATATCAGAAGAGGTGGTATGACGTCCAGCTGACTGCCACGTGGTCCTTGCCACAAATGGCAGTTGGTGTGTGGAGACCAGACACCAACTTTTGTTTTTTCTTTTGAGTTGGAATCTCACTCTGTCACCCAGGCTGGAGTGCAGTGGCATGCTCATGGCCACCACAGCCTCGACCTGTTAGGCTCCAGAGATCCTTCCGCCTCAGCCTTCCAAGTAGCTGGAACTACAGGGGCATGCCACCACACCCAGCTAATTTTTTGATTTATTGTAGAGACAAAGTCTTGCCAAGTTTCCCAGGTTGGTCTTGAACCCCTGGACTCAGGCAGTTCTCTCGCCCCCACCTCCCAAAGTGCTGGGATTACGGGCTCGAGCCACTGCACCTGGCTTAGAGTGGTAACTTGTAATGTCCCCTTCCGGGAAGGAGGCCAGCCACTCCATGCCTCTCCCGATACTGCCAGGGACCATAGTCATCTGCAAAAGCTGGCTCAGTTCCCCCCGCCATCTGAAGGAAGCAGGTCTCGAGGGCCAGCGGAGGCCTGCCCACGGAGGCCACCAGGGCCAGTAGGGAGGTGGGCCAACCAGCCAGTGCCCACAGGAACAGCCTGTGACTTGGGGGTGGCTGGTTTTTGACCGCAAAGGTGCCCAGCACTGGCCTGTGAGCAGATGTGTTCTTCCTGAACTCATGTGCAGCCAGGCTGTCTGGGCAGAGGCTGGGAAGGATGCCGTCCTTTGGTTCAGTTTTCTTTCTACTTATGTTCTTGGCATTCCTTCAAAGCTTTTTGCACTGCTCTCCCAGTATTCAGCTGCAGGGAGCGTGTGTGTGTGTGTGTGTGTGTGTGTGTGTGTGTGTGTATACATGTGTGTATGCTTGTACACTATATGAGTAAGGTGAGCAGTCAGGAACACATGCAGGGAGCGGGGGCAGGCCCAGGGGCCCTAACCCCAGCATGTGCTTCCAGTGAGACTCCAAAGGGAAGCACACCAGCCCCTCCCCGCTCATTGGTTGGGCTCTGCCGAGGGACCTGCCTGCCCCTGATGGCTGCCGTCTCCCCCTTAGAGCTCTCCTTCAGGGTGTGGATGTGCGGTGGCAGCTTGGAGATTGTCCCCTGCAGCCGAGTGGGCCACGTCTTCAGGAAGCGACACCCTTACAACTTCCCTGAGGGCAATGCCCTCACCTACATCAGGTAGGTCACTGTGGAAAGGGCACCGGGTCAGGGGCAGGACGCTGAGGCTCCAGGCTCCAGCCCTGCTACTACTCACCATGTGACTTTGGGCAGTCACCCCAAGGCTCAGGCCTCAGTTTCCCCAACTTCCCCTCCCAGGTCTTCCTGGGATTCCAAGCACTTTCAGAGGTGGAAGGATGAAGGCAAGGGAGTTGCCATCCGGTCTCTTCCTGCCTTGATTTCCTTTGTCCGTGAGAATTGGAAAATTGGCCAAAGCTTGACTGAACTTTGCCCTCCACTCCCTGGGCTGCAAGTGTGGGTCACAGATACCATTGTCCTGACCCTGAGTCGGTTGAGCATTCATCTGTCTGTTTCTCCTACTACAGGGTGCACTGGTCTGAAGGGGGCATGGGTAATGTCCTGAAAGACCACCCATGACCTGCTTTCCTGAGGGGGTGGCAGGGGAGCAGAGGGGTTGCCTTGTGGATAAAAAATGCCAAACTCTATAAAATATTTTTGAAAGTTTATTCTGAGTCAAATATAAGTGACCAAGGCCCATGGCACAGTCCCAAGAAGTCCTGAGAACCACCTGCCCAGAGTGGTTGAATTACAGTTTGGCTTTATACATTTTTAGGGAGACAGAAATTATAGGCAAAACATAAGTCAGTACAGGTGAGGTTCACATTGGTTTGGCCGGGAAGGTAGGACCTATCCAAGCAGTGGGGGATACAGGGGATGAGGGAGTTGATTGCAGGTCATAGGCAGATTCAAAGTTTTCCTGACTGACAATTGGTAGAAAGAGTTCAGCCATGTCTAAAGGATTTTGAAGTCAGTAAAAGAAATGCTGAGTTGAGATGGTGGCGTTGGGGACACCAAGGTTCTCAATGTGTGGGTGAAGCCTCACAGGTGGCAGCCCTTAGGGAGGGTAGATGGCAGATGTCTGGTTCCTCTGGGAATCCCCAGGAAGGGGATTCCATACAGATGCAAATTTCCCTGAGACCACTTTGCAGAGTCGTAAAATATTTTTTGTTTCCTTCCTTATCTATTATGTGATGTTATATCAGAGCTAGATTGGAAAGTAAACCACATTATATAAGGTTAACAAAAAACCCACCTGATGAGACTTTAGGGTTTGTAGGGCATGGGTTCCCAAGCCCTTGGATTAGAAATTTGGAAGAAGAAAAAAAAGAGGGCAGAGTGTAGTTTTTGGCTGTGAGCACTGCTCCTCCATGGACAGCTGGCCAGCTGGTCACACCCATGCCTGTTTGTGCAGGGCTGGAGCAGCGGCCACCACATGAAGCCACTGAGTGACCTGGGGTTCTGTTCTGCTCCTCCCACCCCACTTTTATTGTTTCTAGAATTATAAAAGTCATCTGTGTTCACTGTAAAAATGCAAGCAGTACCAATGTGAATTATGTACATAAGCCTGTATACGTGATGTAGTTACTCTCTGCATCATTATGGAGAAAAAGGCAAAAGCCTTTCTGCCCATTCTTCCTCCTGCACATCTACTGGTCCCTCCAGCAGTGGCTCTTGCTCATAGAAGGGCTGTCATTCCAGGCCCTTTCACATGTGTAGTTTATGTCCAGGACACATACACACCGAAGGCTAGAGTTTTATATAAACTGGGTTATGCTGTGTATACGAGGGGGGACCCAAAAAACCTGGATTTATTTATTAAAAATTGTGTGTTCTTACATGTTTAAACTTCAATCACCTTCAAAGTACTCTCTGTTTGATGCAGTACACGCAGAAGACTTTTTTACCACTGCTCAAACGGTTTTTGAATTCGTCAACTTGGATGCCTGTTAGTGCTTCTGCCATTTTTTGTTTCACCTCTTTCACATCAGCAAAACGTTTCCCTTGGAGAACTTTTTTCATCTAGGAAAACAAAAATAAAGTCACTCAGGGTGAGATCAGGTGAATCGGGAGGGTGGGGCATGGGGTCATGCTGTTGTTGGTCAAAAACAGCGAAACACTCAGCGTGGTTTGGGTAGGTGTGCTGGTAAGTCACCCGTCATGAAATGGGTAAACGTGTTGAAGGCATCTCAAAAAAAAATCCACTGAAGATTAATGCAGCCTTTCCCAGCAACGCTAGCTGGTCCACTGATGCCAGCAGGTTTCTAGAACACTTAGCTAGTTGGGGAAGCCTGTACTAAAAACCTGCCCTTCAAAAGGTAATTCTGGCCCAGCACAGTGGCTCACGCCTGTAATCTCAGCACTTTGGGAGGCTGAGGTGACAGGATTGCTAGAGTCCAGGGATTTGACACCAGCCTGGGCAACTTGGTGAGACCTCATCTCTGCAATAAACCAAAAAATTAGCTGGGCGTGATGTCATGGGCCTATAGTTTCAGGTACTTGAAGGCTGAAGGATTGCCTGAGCCCAGTAGGCTGAGGCTGCAGTGGCCATGAGCATGCCACTGTACTCCAGCCTGGGCGACAGAGTGAGACTCCTATTCAAAAACAAAAAAAAATTCTGGTTTTTTTTTTTGAGGGTCTCCCCCTTGTATATATGTGCTAAATTGTACACGCCCTTCTGTGGTCAACACATACTGACCATAGGTCCTTTTCCAAGGCTGCCCAGGACTCCATCACAGGCAAGTGGTTTATTATTCTCCCATTGACGGGCACTTAGGCTGTGGTTTGTTAAACAGATATTCTTGTCCTTTTGCCCACATGCAGGCATTTCAGTAGAACAGAGCCCTCGTAGGTAAGGTCAAAGAGTGTACGGTACATCCCTATAAAGCAGATGGATACTGACAGAGAATTCCTCCAAAGGATGTTGCCGATGGATGCCATCCCCATCAGTGTTGTCTTGCTCTGGGATTCTCATCACCTTGTACCACCCAGAACTCCTCTGGGTCCTGCCCTAATCCTGTCGCCTTCCTGCTGACCTGACTCTGCCCTCTCCTCTGCTCTCAGGAATACCAAGCGCACTGCTGAGGTGTGGATGGATGAGTACAAGCAGTACTACTATGAGGCCCGGCCCTCAGCCATCGGGAAGGCCTTCGGCAGGTGGGCCGCACTGTCTGCTTCCCCCAACCCTGTGCTAGCACAGCCCACAAAACTCAAAGTGCTGTTGCACACCAGGGAGCACTCACAACCTCTTCGGTCTTCAGGCTCCCACTCTAGTGACTCCTTGGGCCCCGGGAGGGATCTCAACACAGACAAGACCCAGTCCTTGGGGAGCTGGCGGTCTCACAGGGGAGAGCGAGAGCGCTGCCCACACGAGAAAGAGCTGCCCAGCCACAGCTGCCTGAGGAAAGGGGCATCCACCGGGCGCTTGGGAGGGGGCTGTCTGCAGAAAACATTTGGGGTTCTGCTCCCAGCCCCGTTCCAGATTGCAGTCTGTCAGCCTATTTTTCTGTCACAGGCTGTTATGACTACAGTCTGGTTAAACATTTTTGAAATGCAGATGGCTGTGAAACCAATTTAGTGGGTCGTGACTAGCATCTAAAAAGAGAGAAAAATAGAACACTCCAGCTTAGAGTAGGACAGAACAGACCAGACCAGGGAAGAACTGGTGTTTGATGGAACTTGGATTTCAGTCGTGTGTGTGTGCACACGTGTACCTATATGCGTACAGTTGTCCCTCAGTATCGTATCTGTAGGGGCTGGTTCCAGGACCCCCATGGATGCCAAACTCCATAGATGCTCAGGTCCCTGGTACAAGGTGGCATGGTATCACATACAGCCCACGCACCAGCTCCTGAACACCTTACGTTGTCTCTAGATCGCTCACGACACCTAACACAATACCTGCACATCACAGTGCCTGAACGGACCCTGTGTAGTACTTGGCATATGGAAAAGTCAGGTTTTGCTTCTTGGAGTTTTGTGGAGTTTTCCCCCCCAAATATTTTGGATCCACAGTTGGTTGAATCCAAGGATGTGGAGCCGCAGGTATGGAGGACCGACTGTCCCTGCAGTGTGCTAGATCACAGGGTTAAGGTGCATCTATCTGCGGCTTATGGGTGTGGTCAGAAAAGTTTGAAAACGTTGTCCTTGATCATCAATGAATCTTCTGGCTTCTATTTATTTATGTCTATCCTCTTTTGAAGAAAGAGTTCTGCCACTCAATACTTCTTGTAACAGGGAGCTCACATTTACTTAGGGCCTGCCCCGTGCTCAGCTCTTCATGTCCCGTTCATTCACTTGATTCTCATAAAAACCTTCTGAGATGCATGGTCATTGTTCCCAGTTTACTGTCAGAGAAACTGAGGCTCGGGCAGGTGGTGATGAGGGCCAGCCGGTGGCCACTGTGGTGGGTGCTGCTGAGGAAGGGCTGACTGCGGTGTCCCAAGCAGGCATCAGATGGTCCCAGAAGGCATCTGAAGTTCTCCCTTCCTGCAATTGGACCCTTTATTCTAAGCTGGGATGCAGGAAAGGAAAGCATCTAGTCCATTGAGGCCCTGCTTGTGGAAAATGACCAGTTTCTGATGTGCTGGCTGAGGTCTTGAGTAAAGAAAGCTCAGCCTCTCTGAGCAGGAATTTGAGGGGAGGGAGGAGTAGCCAGGAGACCTGGGTTGAGCTCACAGGGTCAAGAATGACAGCAGGCAAGTGGCCAAGGCTGGATGGCACAGCTTGACCAGCTCCTGGCCCTTGCTTGCCTGGGGTAGTGGAGAGGGGGATGAGTCTTGGACTGGGGAAGGAGTCTGCGGCAGGCCAGAGCCAAGCCTTGCGTCCCTGCAGTGTGACCACGCGGGTCGAGCAGCGGAAGAAGATGAACTGCAAGTCCTTCCACTGGTACCTGGAGAACGTCTACCCGGAGCTCACGTGAGTGCTACCCTCACCTTGGGTGTCGGCTGGGTTGGACCAGGGGCTCGGGGACCCCCATGTCCACCCTGGGGTCTCCCCATCCCGGTCGTCGGACTCATTCTCACTGCTGAGGTTGGTCTTTGCATGAAGGCTCTGGAAGAGCTGAGAGGACATCACTGGGAGTTATACGGGGGGACCCAAAAAACTCAGAATTATCTTTCAGAGGGTGGGCCCCTTGTATTGCAGGCTTCCCCCACTAGGTAAGTGTTCTAGGAACCCATTGGCGTCAGTGAACCATCTAGCATTGTGAGAGGCTGCGTTTAGCTTCAGTGAATTTATTTTGGAGATTCATTCAACGTGTTTGCCCATTTCATCATGGGTGATTTACAAGCACACCTGCCTGCACCACACTGAGTGTTCAGCTGTTTTTGACCAACAGTGGCATGACCCCCCTGTCCCGCCCTCCCCATTCGCCTGATCATGCCCCAAGTGACCTTATTTTTGTTTCCCTGAAAATGAAAAAAGTCCTCAAGGGGAACGTTTTGCCATCGTGGAATAGGTGAATCAAAAAATGGCAGAAACACTAAAAGGCATAAAAAATTATGAGTTCAAAAGCTTTTGGGCAGTGGAAAAGCGTCTTATAGGTGTAGTGCATCAGTTGGAGAGTACTTCGGGGGTGACTGAGGTTTAAACATGTAATAATAAACATACAATTTTTAATTTATATATTCTGAGTTTTTTGGGTCCCCTACCTCATACATCAGGTGTGATAGGAACTGAATTTCTAGAAGACTGGGTCTTAAACCTAGAAATAGACATGGTTGCCTTAGGGACAACTCTGCATGATGTCACAAAGGCTGGGAAACATTTGCCCCCCCGACCCCATTCTCTCCCTTCTGGGAGTTTGTCTCAAGAAAATAAAGCAAAATGCTGGTGACAAGTAGAGACTGCTTATCCACTGCTGTGGGAAAAATCAGAAACAGCTAACAACAGACTGGTTCAGTGAACCATCATCCATCGAATTAAGCAAATGTTATACACCCATTAATCCTATAACTGTAAAGACTGAAAACACATGGGGAACTGTTTGTTCTTACAAGTGAGGACTCAATGCACATTGTGTGTGCACTAGGGTGGCAACTACATGTGAGTAGGTGAGAGGTGTGAATAGATGTGAGTAGATGTGAGGGGGTGTGAACAGGTGTGAGTAGATGAGTAGGTTTGAATTGATGTGAGCAGGTGTGAATAGATCTGCATGGATATGAATAGGTATGAGTAGATGTGAATAGGTGTGGATAGATATGAATAGGTAAATAGATGTGAGTAGCGAGAGTAGGTGTGAATAGGTGTGAATGGATATGAATGGGTGTGTGTAGATGTGAATAGATGTGAGTAGGTGTGGGTAAGTGTGATGTGAGTAGGTGTGAATAGATATGAGTAGTTGTGAGTAGGTGTGAATAGATGTGTGTAGGTGTGACTTGAATAGGTGTGAATCAGTATGAATAAACAGGTGTGCATAAGTGTGAGTAGGTGTGACAAGAGCGGGTGTGAATAGGTGTGAGTAGGTGTAAGTGAATAAATGTGAGTAGGTGTAAGTGAATAGATGTGAGTAGGTGTAAGTGATGAGCAGGTGTGAGTAGTTGTGACATGAGTAGGTGTGAATAGATGTGAGTGGGTGTGAGTAGGTGTGAATAGATGTGAGGAGGTATGAGCAGGTATGACAAGAGTCGGTGTGAATAGGTGTGAATTGGTGTGAGTGACGAGCAGGTGTGAGTAGGTGTGACATGAGTAGGTGTGAATAGATGTGAGTAGGTGTAAGTACAACAAGAGTAGATGTGAATAGGTGTGCGTTCTCAACAGGACTGTGAGTATCACACTGTGACCATCACCTTTCTACATCTGGTGACACCAACATGGTTCCTTTTCTCACCCTCCTCAGGGCTGGATCCAGTGCCCCTTCTCAGGGAGACCTCCCAGCACACACTTGAGTGCCTCACTGTCTCCCTCCCTGGCAGCCCCAGCTTCTCCTTCCTCTGAGCCTGTTTCACCCCAGGCATGCATCTGGCTAACGAACTGTATTATATCTCCCTGAGGTGCCCATGAGCCTCACGAGGGTGGAGGCCGTCATCTGTTCGCTGCCCTGCCCTCACACCCAGGCCAGTGCCTGTCGTCAAGTGGGCACATGGGAAGCAGTTTTGCCCGGTGCCTCACACATCCACAGACCTCCATCATGCCTGAAAGCTGCACCACCCCCTACACACACACCATCACCCTGGGGCAGGCTTCCCCCTGCTGTCTGCCTTCTCCCAATGACACAGCCATGGTTGTTTTCCAGAACACTCCGCCCCTCAGAGCCTGACCATCCTTGGAGGAGGCAAGGCTCTGTCCCTGGGGGGCAGATTTGACTTCTGGCAACCAGCCATCATGGGCTGTCACCAGGTCCAGTGAACACACTGGGCAGTTGACCACACAGTCCCGGGTCCCAAACACAGCTCAGCGCTAGAGTAGCATGGAACAACGTCCAAAAAACTCCAAGGCAGTTTGAGCAACGGTAGCACCCTTGGGAGAAAGTCAGAACCTGGATAAGCCCAGCTTCCTGGACAACAGCTGTGAAGGGAAGAACTCTGATCTGTGAAAATGTGTGACGTGAACAACTTCCTGAAGGGGCTGCTCTAGGGGCCATGCGCGTTCCAATGTCTCATTCCTGAGACCCGGGACATGAGACCGCTGTTAGCGTTCCTGCGACATCAGGAACCAGACCCCAGGCCACAGGCAGGAGTGGGGAGGTTGAGTACGTGCACTGTGCTGCCCCCGAGGACCCAGGGGAGAAGTGTGTTATCACTACCAGAAACAGGCTCGGTCCCAGGAGAGGGGGTGGAGACCACCGTGCTAGGTGGGTGCAAAGGTCCTCTTCCATTTGTTCTGCCATCATGTGAACATCGAAAAAAATAATTTGGGGTTATTAGGATAGAAATGCCAGCACTTGTTCCTATGCAGGTTACTCACCCCAGTTCCCAGATGAGGGGCCAGGAGCTGGTCAGGTTGTTGGTTAGAGAGGAAAGGTAGCCAAAGGTCCGAGTGATTCCAGCTTGCCTGCAGAGGGCACTGATGGCTGCATGCGCCTGCAGCTGGTCAGTGGGGAGACTGAGGAGGCTGAACGAAGCGGCTTTGGCTCTTCTGGGCCTGCCTGTAGTTCTGCCATGGTTCTGCCTCTTATCCAGGTCGGAGCTCTGTGGCTGGCCTCAGCAACTACTAACTTATTACTTTCATTAGGACTGCCAGGGCCAGTTGTTCAGGCTATGCATTGCACAAGCACACCACATCTGGAAGGGTGCTAATCACGTAGTAGGCATTGTATGTTCATTTCAGTAAACATTCTTCCTCTAACAAAACATATAGTGACACATTTCTAACAGAGGTAGAGTGTCTTAAGGAATGAGTGCCTTTTGCACTTTCCTTCCTTTCTCTCTCTCTCTCTCTCTCTCTCTCTCTCTCCCCCCCTCCCTCCCTTACTCCCTCCTTCCCTTTCAAGACAGGGTTTCTCTCTGTCACCCAGGATGAAGTGCAGTGGTACCATCATAGCTCATTACAGCCTTGACCTCCTGGGCTCAAGTGATCCTCCCATCTCAGCTCCCAAGTAGGTGGGACTAGGTGTGCATCACCACACCCAGTTTTATATATATATATATATATGTAGAGATGAGGTCTTGCTATGTTCCCAGGTTGGTCTTGAACTCCTGGGCTCAAGCATTCCTCCCACCTCAGCCTCCCAAGTGCTGAGGTTACAGGTGTGAGCCACCACGCTGGGCTAACCTGTTAGTATTTCTGCAAAGGCACCGTCAGGCCTGATGGCAGCCTTGCTTGGAGGAGAGCCACAAAGCAGGAAGGAGGTGCAGACCTGAGAGGCAACCACGGCTGTCCCAGCTGCTGTAGGATGCTGTCCTGGGGACAGCTCAGAACCACATACGGTCTTGAGGTTGCTCCTGGGACCCAGGGCACCTTCCTGAGTGTCACAGGTGGGCCCTCGGTGCCAGTGGCCCTTGTCATGTAGCGGGAAGACACAGAGATCGTGACACCAAGGTTATTGTAGGAAGTGGCAACTTTTATTACGCTGGCCGGCTCAGCGGGCTCAAGGGGCTAATACTTCCAGGTCGAGCCCTGCAGAATGGGAGAAGGAGGGTCTTATACCTTTGTTTAGGTAAGGGAGGGGGTCATGTTGAACGATTACGCATTCTCTTTGGAATTTATAAGGTGGTGTTCAGAAAAATCAGATCTTTCAAAGAAGAAATGGTCTCCAGGAACTGCAGGGCAGCAGGGTCTGCAAGCAGGGTTGTAAACTGTCAACTTCAAAAGAGGGGTTTTGGATAAGTCTGTGAATTAGTTACTTTTTTGCATTTCCATGAGAGCCATCAGTCTTTAGCCATCTGGCTTTTTCAAACAAAACTGGCCTGGTGAGTCTTTAGAGCTTGCTGCTTGACTTTCAAAAGGAAATACCTTTAACTGCTACCAACCCCCCTTTCTGCCACAGGGTTAGTGGGAGACAATTTGTCATCCCAGGTGATTGCCATGGGGCCAACTGCTGACCCCAAAGCAGTTACTCATGTGTTTCTGCATTCATTCACTCAATCACACAAGAAATATATATTTGAGCATTTGCCACATTCTGCTATAGTCATACTCGGACAGCACCCGCCTTGCCTCTGACGGCTGATGGGCTTGCACACCTCCCTAAGCAGCAGGGGGCGGGGAGGAGAGGGGAATAGGGGGTTCTGAAACAAGCTCCGACCCCCCTGCTGCATTGTCCCTGAGCACAGTTCTCCGAGTCTCAGTAGGCATCTGGTCTCTGTGGAGAAGAGAATTGTACCATGTGGCTCTGGGACGAGGCAGAGGGGGTGGAGCTCTGCCCCCCAGCACCCTGACACCAGCAGGGCTTGCAAACTCAAATCTTGCCAGTGGTCAGGAGGCGGTGTTGATAAGTCAAGTGGGAGGGGGGATAGACAATAGAGAGTTGTGGAGACTGTGGCAAACCGGATGCAACAGTCCCACTCAGAGGGATAACTGCTACCCACCACGGTGGGTTGGTGCCATGCTGGAATACCAGCTCCGTGTGACCTTTCTATTTTGTCAAGAGAAGTTCTATTCAGATTTTTCTGTGTAACCTTCAAGTTTTAAAACATTGCCAACTAATTAAAACAGCGCTGAGCATGGCAGCTCATGCCTGTAATCCCAGCATTTTGAACAGCAAAGAAGGGCAGATCGCTTGAGGCCAGGAGTTTGAGACCAGCCTGGGCAACAGAGTGAGACCCTGAATAAAATAAAAGCAACAACCACACCATGCAGGTCAGACAAAAGGTGGCGGGGACCAGATTCAGTTTGGCAGCCAGCAGTGTGCCACCTCTGCCCCAGGGCTGTGCAGGCTCCCAAGGGGGGTCTGGAGGAGGCCCACCCTGCTGCCATGGGTACAGGAGAGAAGGCTAGGGGGCTTCCTGAGGTGCTGAGAGTGAGCAGATCACCCTGGAACACCGGTGGGTCTGGCCCTGGAGAGGGAGGACTTGCTGAGGGCTGACCCTGCAGGCGTCCACATCAAAGTGAGGTGTGATGCCCCAGGCCTGGGCTCTCATCAGAGGTGACAGAAGGCAGGGGACTTAAGGCCACAGCTACACTCGAGTGCTTCCAAGTTCCAGTCACCTTCGTGCCTGGGGGCTCCTTAATCCAAGAACATAAATGACCCTCTCAGCCCAGGCACCCAAGCCTGCACTTGCGGGGGACAGCAGCTTCCTTGGCTTACTACCCACTGGGTATCAGAGTATGTGTGTGTGTGCATGCATGTGTGCAGACTCACATGTGCATGTTGTCCTGTGCACAGAAAGTGTTTTCTCGGCATGATATTTTTAAACCTGCCTGTCTTACTCACAATATGCTGTGAACAGTTTTTTACATCACTGGATATTCTTTCACAGAGTCATATTTAATGGCTGTAGGATTTTCTATCCTATGGATAAAACAGTTTATTTAGCCCCAACCCTGTAGTTGGACATTGAGAATTTTCCAATGTTTTCAGTATAGTCAACCTTTCTGAGATGAATACCCTTTTTTTTTTTTTTTTTTAGTTTGGGTCTTACTCTGTTGCCCAGGCTGGGGTGCAGTGGTACAATCAGGGTTCACTGCAGCCTCAACCTCCTGGGCTCAGGTGATCCTTCTACCTCAGCCTCCTGAGTAGCTGGGACTACAGGTATGTGCCAACATGCCCAGCTAATTTTTTTGATTTTTTTTTTTTAGTTGGAGTATAACTCTTGTCACCCAGGCTGGAGTGCAGTGGCATGCTCACGGCCACTGCAGCCTCAACCTGCTGGGCTCAGGCAATCCTTCTGCTTCAGCCTTCTAAGTAGCTGGAACTACAGACACACACCACCATGCCCAGCTAGTTTTTGTGATTCATTTTAGAGACAAGGTCTCACCAAGTTACCCAGGTTGATCTTGAACCCCCGGGCTCAGGCAATCCTCTTGCCTCTACTTCCCAAAGTGCTGGGATTACAGGCTGAGCCACCGTGCCTGGCCTTGATTTTTTTTAGAGATGGGGTCTCACTAAGTTGCCCAGGATGGTCTCGAACCCCCGGTCTTAGGCAATCCTCTCAGCTTGGCCTCCCAAAGTGCTGGAATTACAGGCTGAGCCACCATGCCTGGCCTTGATTTTTTTTTTTTTTTTTTTGATAGAGATGAGGTCTTGCTGTGTTGCCCCGGCTGGTCTCAAACCCCTGGGCTCAAGCAGTCCTCCTATCTCAGCCTCCCAAAGTGCTGGGATTACAGGTGTGAGTCACGGCACCCAGCCTTGAGATGAATACCTTTTAATACTTCAATATTATTTCTGTAGGATCGATTCCTGGAAGTGGCATGATTAGATGGAAGGTGTGTACTTTTTTAGGGCTTCGCTACATCGTGCTACAGTGCCCTCCCCAGAGGGTGGGTTCTTCATGTCCCCACCAGTGGGGGGTGAGAAGATTACCCCCAGCTGTGGCCAACCCCAGGCGCTGTCGGTAGAGAGATGGGTAAATCGTAGGAGGGTGTGTGTGCAGTGTCCATGTGTGGTGAGCAAGCGGTGTGACGGGCTGAGGTGTGTTTCTTCAGCTATTGCTGAGATCAGGCACATTTTCATATCAGTGCATTTTAAACTTGCTCTGTCACTTGGAGGCTGATTCTTGAGCCGACGTTTGGGCTCCCCGCTTTCTGGGCTGAGGAGCCTGCTTCTGGCCCCAGAGTCCCTGATGTCTCAGGTCTGGCTCCGGAGCAGTCCCAAGGGCTCCCAGAGCCGCCTGGAAGAACCCCTGAGGGCCAAGACCCGTCTTTCCCCTGCCAGCCAGGCCTGCCCAAGCACCCTTCCCACGGAGACCTCAGTGCCCCCAGGCTGATGGGCGCTGCCCTCCGGCAAGGGCGTGGGAGGCCTGGCCAGAGCAGAGGACCAGCCTGACACCACTCGCTCCCCCAGGGTCCCTGTGAAGGAGGTCCCCCCCAGCATCATCAAGCAGGGGGCCAACTGCTTGGAGTCCCAGGGCCAGAACACAGCTGGCGACTTCCTGCTTGGACTGGGCATCTGCAGAGGGTCTGCCAAGAACGCCCCGCCAGCCCAGGTAAGCGCCTGGGGCCTCCGTTGGGCCTGGGAGGCGGTCAGAGCCGTGGGTGTTGCCCAGGAGCGGGTGAGGGGCTGCCCTTCACTTGTTCCCATCTTCCCTCCATCTACCCCCGCCACCAACCCACTTTCCCAGGGGCCTTCACATTCTGCTCCGGCTACACTCATAGCCCCTCTCCAGCCTGTCACCTGGTACCCGCTGTGTGTCACCCACTTTTTCCTGCAGGGGGAGAAATGCTGCCCAGGTCTCTCCCGAGGCACAGCTGTGGGCGACTTGTAGGGTGTCTGGACCCCTGTGTGCACCTATGAGGAGTGCACCCAAGTCAATACTAGAACAGCTAAGCGCAGTGGCCCATGTCTGTAATCCCAGCACTTTGGGAGGCCATAGAGAAAGGATTGCCTGAGCCCAGGGGTTTGAGACCAACCTGGGCAACTTGGCGAGACCTCATCTCTATAATAAATAAACAAATTAGCTGGGTGTAATGGCTCGTGCCTGTGGTTCTAGCTACTTGGAAGGCTGAGGTGGAAGGATTGCCTGAGCCCAGCAGATTGAGGCTGCAGTGGCTGTGAGCATGCCACTGCACTCCAGCCTGGGCAACAGAGTGAGACTTCAACTAAAACAAAACAAAACAAAAACCCCAAAAAACGAGAGCAGGTCATAGCGACCCCAGCTCCCCAGTTGCCCTGGTCATATGTCCTGTTGTTCTTTCTCATCCCCCTGCATCCCTCAGTTATCCCTGATTGCCCTCTGGCCAGGTCCAGCCAAGCTCCCACACCCTAATATTTTATTATGAAAAATTGCAAACATATAGAAACATTAAAAGAACTGTACAATGAATACCTGTGCATCCACCTGAATCCTAAAATTATTTTTAGAAAACTCTTCAAAAACTGCTTTATCACCTCTTTATTCCTCTCCATTCATCACTGTCTTATTATTGTTATTATTATTATTATTATTGTTATTTTTTGGAGGCTGTGTTTTATTCATGGCCTGCCAGCCTCCTTCCTGCGCCTGTGGGTGAGGTAGGAAGGCTGCGGTGGAGGGGGAGGGAACAGGCTAGGAGGAGGCAGACTGCAGCTGCCCTTTGTAGACATATTCCAGCGCAGTGGCAATGGTGCGCATGTCCAACTTGATGCTCCGAGCCCAGTTCTCCACCATCCCCAATCTCCTTGAGCGCCTGGTTGAAGTTCTCCACCTTTCCAATCCACTGGCCCGTCTGCTTGGCAGATTGGGCAGCCTGGACCTGCAGGGTCTTCACCTCGTGGTCCAGCTTTCTCTGGTTCATGTAGGCCTGGGCCACGCCCACATTGAGGTGGTCCACCAAAGCTTCTGTCAGGCAGGTCACCGCAGTGATAGCCTCTCGTCTCCTCTTCTCCTGCAGAAGCTTGCGTTCGGGTGTTCTTTCAGCAGGCGGGACAGCATGATGGCGTTGGGCTGGGGGGCTGGCTCGCCGGGCCCCCTCCGGTTCCCGACTGTTGTTATTATTATTTTTATTATTTTTGAGTTGGAGTCTCACTCAGTTGCCCAGACTGGAGTGCAGTGGCCGCTCGCTGCCTTGACCCGCTGGGCTCCGGTGATCCTTTCACCTCAGCCTTCCAAGTAGCTGGAATTACAGGCGCATGCTACCATGCCTGGCTAATTTTTGATTTATTGTAGAGATGAGGTCTTGCCAAGTTGGGCAGGTTTCGAACCTGCAGGCTCAGGCAATCCACTCACCTCGGCCTCCCAAAGCGCCGGGATTACAGGCTGAGCTACCAAGCCCAGCCTATTATTATTATTATTATTATTATTATTATTATTATTATTATTATTATTTTGGAGACAGAGTCTGGCTCTGTTGCCCAGGCTGGAATGTAGTGGCATGATCATAGTTCACTGCAGCTTCAACCTCTTGGGTTCAAGTGATCCTCCAACCTCAGTCTCCTAAGTAGCTGAGAGTACAGACATTTGCCACTGCACCTGGCTAATTTTTAAATTTTTTGGTAGAGACAGAGTCTATGTCGCTCAGGCTGGTCTTGAACTCCTAGCCTCAAGTGATCCTCCTGCCCCAGCCTCTTAAAGTGCTAGGATTACAGGCGTGAGCCATCATCGCTGTCCTTTGTGCCTTGGCCTGCCTGGCCCCTGTCTTGCAGGCATGGCTGTTCAGTGACCACCTTGTCCAGCAGCAGGGGAAGTGCCTGACTGCCACCTCCACCCTAATGTCCTCCCCTGGATCCCCAGTCGTGCTGCAGGTGTGCAACCCGAGAGAAGGCAAGCAGGTAAGCCTCTTTGCCCTGGGGAATGAGGCCAGCAGCCTCCGGCGACATGCAATGGGGTAGCAGACCCCAATAGGGGAGCGAGTCCCAAGTTGAGACAGAGACTCAAATTAGCGCACCAGAGTGAGGATGTATGAGGTCACATTGGCATCTAGGTCAAGCCTGTGACTTGACTCGTGAGGAGACACTTCTTTGGGTGAATACGGTTTGGTGGCCCCCTGCCGGGTCATGAGCTCCAGGAAGACAGGGACACCTTATCCTGGAACACTGTCCCCAGCCCCTGACAACCATCACGGCTCAAATAAGTGGTAGCTTTTACCAAGAGCCTGTCCTAGGAGTTTGAAATAGATCAGCTCATCTGATCCTCCCAGTTATCCAGTGACATGAGCCCCAGTATCATCCCCATCTTACAGGTGAGTAAACGGAGGCTCGCTGAGTCTAAAGAACATATGTGGGTCACACATCTAGGAAGGGGTAGGGCTGGGTTTGAAACCCTGGTCCGTGTGACTCCCAAGTCCTCAGTGTCAGCCCAGCACAGAGTAGGTGCTCAATATTTCTCGACTGCTGGCCAACTGGGGAAACTGAGGCCCAGTGCTGTCCAAGCTGGCAGGAACAGCCTCACGTGAGCACTACCTTTTCCGCTTGTCCAACATTCTCACCATGCTGTCTCCACTAGTCCTGGGATGCTGGTCAGGCCTACCTGCTCAGAGAGGTGAAGCCACTTGCCCAGGGTACACAGCAACCAGTGACAGTGAAACCAGAAGCTGGATTCTGGAGCCAGACAGCTTCTGTCTACTCAGCTCCCTTCCGGTTTGGGAGGCTGCCTGGGCCAGGGAACGGACTGGAGGTCAGAGATTGCCCCAGCCCCTGCTCTGCCCTCTTCTGTAGCAATGCTGTGCCTGCTGGTTAGTGCAGGGGTGGGGGAGAGGAGAGGGAGTCCTGGATCTGATTAGTCCTGGCCCTGTTGTTTGCCTGGGTCAGTTCTTCTTATCGGGCTGACCGGCAGTTTGCTAATCCATTCTGGAAAGGCATCCAGACCCCCTCCCTCCAGCGTGCGCGCGCGTGTGTGTGTGTGTGTGTGTGTGTGTGCGTGTGAGAGTGTGTTATGTGCGTGTGAGAGGTCTGTGTGCCTGGCCTGCTTGCTGGCCTGCTGGACATACCTGAAGCACTTCCCGATCGGGGAATGCAGCCTGTCTTTGGTCCCGCCCTGCAGGGAAGCCACTGCCCAGTCTCCCTTCATCCAGAGCATCCGCCTCTCAAGGAGGAGCCTTGAGCTCTTGCCCGCCCCCCTCCACCTTGAGGAAGTGTCTCCCGGGGCAGCCTCCACTCAAATACCTCTTTAGAGTGCACCGTTCAATTTCCCTGGCCTATGGGGTGTGTGGGGACTCCCCAGCCCTATCCTTCTGCTCGCTTCAGGCCCACCAGGCTTCCCACGGCCCTGGGTGTCCTGCCCCTCCCTTTCGCCTGCCGCTGCCTTCTGGGTCTGGGCTTCCCTTCTTGGCCTCCCTTTAGCCCCATTTCCAAGGGTTTCGTGTATCCCAGAGGCTCCCTACGGGCAGACCCGGGTGACAGAGCCAGCAGGCCTCACTCACGCCCTGTCACCTCTCTGGCTCTGGCTCTTCACTTGCAAAACGAGGGGCTTCCTCCCCCCTGCCTTGTAAGGAGTCTGCGAAAACCCTGTGGAGATGGGAGAGTACATGAGGGGCGTTGATCCTCTGGGCAGGCCCAGAACTGAGTGGTTGGAGACTGGGACCACAGGAAGGGGAAATCTTATTTGCAAAAGTACAGGATTCACCTAGGCCAGAACTCACAGACCCGAGTCCTCTGGGGGCTGCTGGGAAGCCCCTAAGGGAGCCAGGTAGGGACAGGTAGGCACCGCGGGCGCCTGGAGAACCGAAGCCGCCCAAAGCAGGGAGCAGGGCCACCTCCATTCAACCCGCCAACGCCTGGCGTCTGGGAAGCTGCGCCCAAGGTCTATTTGTGCGTGGCCACTAAGCCAAATGTGTGTTTTAATTTTAGTTGTAATTAATTATTTTTTTGAGTCGGGGTCTCACTCTGTCACCCAGACTGGAGTGCTGTGACACGATCATGGCTCACTGCAGCCTCGACCTTCCGGGCTCAGGCGATCCTCCCACCTTAGCCTCCCAAGTAGCTGGGACTACATGAGCACAGCACCTCACCCAGCTTAATTTTCAAAAAAATTTTTGTAGGGACAAGATCTCACGATGTTGCCCAGGCTGGTCACAAACTCCTGGGCTTAAGTAATCCTCCCACCTCAGCTTCCTGAGTAGCTGGAACTACAGGCATGAGCCACCACTCCCAAGTAATTTTTTTATTTTTTGGTACAGACGAGGTCTTGCTATGTGGCCCAGTCTGGTCTCGAATTCCTGGGCTCAGGCAATCCTCCTGCCCCGGCCTCCTAAAGTGCTGAAATTACAGGCGTGAGCCAATGCATCTGGCCCCAAGCCAATTTCCGCCTTGCCTCCTCTAATACAGACAGTACCTTCTGACAACCATGGGGGAGGGGCGGGCACTAAAGATTGTGAGAGGGTAGGGTAGCCTCTTGCACATGGAGCACACAGCCTGTTTCAATTGTGAGGGATGAGAAAATGTGGCACATACACACCGCGGAAGACCATGCACCCACAAAAAAGAACGAACTCACCTCCTTGGCATCAAGCATAGATGGAGCTTGAGATCGTCACCCTAAATGAACTGGCTCGGAAACAGAAAGCCAAACACTGCACGTTCTCACCTATGAGAGGGTACGTGTGGGCGTCCAGAGTGAGGTCCCTAAAAGTGGGAGGGCGGAAGGGACGAGGGCTGCAGAAGTACCAGGTGCGGTGTTCCCTGCCCAGGTGAAGGTGGCACGAGAGGCCCAGCTACGCGATGCACCCATGTGGCAAAACTGCACTTGTGCCCATGAATCCATAAAAATTAGGGGTTTAGGTCGGGTGTGGTAGCTCACGCTTATAATCCCAGCACTTTTGGGAGGCTGAGGTGAGAGGACTGCCGGAGCCCATGGGTTCGAGACCAGCCTGGGCAACTTGGTGAGGCCTCATCTCTATAAATTAAAAAATTAGCCAGGCGTGGTGGCATATGCCTGTAATTCCAGCTAACTGGGGAGGCAGAAGGATCACTTGAGTTCAATAGGTGGAGGCTGTGGTGGCCATGAGTGTGCCACTGCACTCCAGCCTGGGTGACAAAGAGAGACTCCAGCTAAAAAAAAATGAGGGGCTTGTGTCCCCAGCAGATACGGGGTTGTATCCACACATGTGACAGGAAGGCACAACATCGCTTTTTTAAAATTATTGTTTTCTCCCCCACCCCAGAAATGGAGGAGAAAAGGCTCGTTCATCCAGCACTCCATCAGCGGCCTCTGCCTGGAGACCAAGGCTGCCCAGCTGGGGACCAGCAAGTGTCAGGCCGATGCTCTGGCTCAGCAGTGGCAGCTGCTGCCACACACATGACGGTAGCCGGGGATTCCGTACTTTTGCATGAGAGGCTGGGACAGAGGGGCTGGGGGGAGCACTGCGGGCTGTTCTATCTCTTAACATCTCTGCAGTATCATTGCTGATGCCTGTGCACACATTTTTCTCCAGAACTTGTTCCGGGAGGGTGCAGGGGGTACACCCACTGCCCCCATGCTGTCCCAGCCTCACCCCGGGAGAGGAGGCAGTCGGGGCACCGCGCAGTTGCTGGGCGGGGACTGAGCAGCACTCCCAGACCCTTGTCCTCTCCCTGAGGCCTGGACGGTGGGGTGTGGCCCTCCCCTTGTCCCTGGGGAGTGCAGGACAGAAGCCCACAAAGGGCCCAGGTGGGTTGTGGGGGCTGCTTGTGTGGACAGGCCAGGACAGAAGAAGGCGGGCAGTGTGAGTGGAGTGGCCGAGGGTGGGTCTGGAGGGAAGGAGGAGGAGGGCCGCCTGTGGACAGCAGCGAGCAGGGGAGGTGGCGGGAAGTCAGTGGCCGTCAGGGAAGCCAGGCCCAGGGGACACTGGGTATGTGTGGGATGGGATGGGGCAAAGGACAGAAAATTTGCAAATGGGCATGGATGGAAGAGCAAAGCACCAAGAAGCATGGCCTCTTCCCTGGGACGCCACCCCATACCTCTCCAGCCCCGGGGCCAAGTGGACACTGCACTCCCCTCCCTGCCCTGCGGTGCCCACATTCCCAGCAAGAGCTTGAGACTTGGGACACATGGTACTAAGCAGACTCCACTTCTGTTTGGCCGTGTGTCAGGCTGAGACCTCTCTCTTGGGCCTTAATGACCAGCTGGTGGCCTGTTCCCTCATTGATCCAAATGGGAGAATGGGTAGCCCCATGCACCCCTAAGCAGTCCCATCTTCTTTGTAGTTTTTTTCTTTTGAGTCTGGTTTCACTCTGTCACCCATCCTGAACTGCAGTGGCACAATCATGGCTCACCTCAGCCTCAACCTCTTGGGCTCAGGTGATCCTCCTGCCTCAACCTCCCGAGTAACTGGAACTACAGGCACATGCTACCATGCCCAACTAGTTTTCTAATTTTCTGTAGAGACAGGTCTCGCTCTGTTGCCCAGACTGGTCTCAAACTCCTGTACTCAGCAATCCTCCTGCCCTGGCCTCCCAAAGCACTTGGATGACAAGTGTGAAATGCCCTGCCCGTCCTCTCTGTCGTTTTTGGCTTCTGCTTTCTCAGAGGTCTCTGCCTCCATCAGCACAGCATGGCGGGATGGGTTCCCGGGAAGAATGGAGTCTCCTTCCAGAGCAGGAGCCACCCTAAGTCGTCGGGCCAGGCTGTCCAGGCTAAGCCTCACCCTCACTCCCCTCCCCAGCATGGGAGGGGTTTCCTCTAGGCTCAGCGATGCCCAGGGCTGGCTGGTGGCTCCGTTCACAGAGAACTCCCGGTCCCTCCTCACAGCCTCCCAGGACAGTCACCTGCCTCCTCACGGTTGTGTCCCAGAACCATGTTGCTAGCCCCATACCCTTCCTCTTTCCTACTGGCTCCACAGTGTGGTCTTGGGCACAGCCTGCGGGTACCAGGACCCTGGGAGTCTCCCTGCAAAACACACCAGCCTGGGCGGGAACCCCAGACTTTCGTAGACCAGGAATCTGCACGCTGGAGGGTCCAGGAATTTCCAGGAATTGCCCCAAGCATTGCACGTCCACACACAAATGTGTTTTCCTGGGGAGGGCCCTTGGGTCTCCCCAGCCTCTGAGAGGGGTTCCGATCCCCAAAGGCTCTGAACCTGCATTCTGGATGGGAGCCTTGCGACCCGAGCTGCCATCTCCGGCCTCCTGCCCAGTGTGCTCAAGCCACCATCGCCTGCTCCCTTCATGCATCCGCCGGGAGCCACGTGTCTGTGGCCCACAGCACCTGCCCTGGAGGGCCCACCAGAGGCTTCCTGCCACCTCCCGGCATCACCAGCGTCCTCTCAGCAGCACCCCGTGCCCGGCGCCCCCTGAGCCCTGCGTGGGGCCCTTGGCCCCATGGCTCTGCCTCGCTGTCCTCCGTCCTGTGTCATTGTGCCAACCTCGGGCCTCGGGTGCCCTGCTCTTCCGGGAGCCTCCTGCCACCACTGAGAACAGAACTGCGGGCTGAGTGGCCCGGGGCCTCCTGGGCGTGGACATTTGGGCTGGGCGCCGGGCTGCTCACATTGAGTGGAAGAGGACTGCGGCCTGGGGGTCCCCCTGCCTCCATGGTCAGGCTAGGCCCTGTGCTTGTCAGCCGCCCCCCGTGGCGACTCAGCCTGTTCCGTTGTTGCTTTGCCTCTTCTTGACCAAAGCATGTGCCACTAGCCGTCCTCGGGGACCTTGTCGTATGAAACACACCCAGAATAAAACCACTTCATACACGTTCCCGGCCCAGCGCCTGCCTTCCTTCCTTTCCGACTCTGGCCATGCCTCCCTCTGGCGTTCACCCAAAGGCTGCTCTGGAGGAGCCAGCGGGTGGCCCTGAGGCCAGGGCGGGCCTGGGACTAGATCCAGGACCAGCCCAGGGGCAGGCTGAGCTCAGATTCCGCTGCCTCCTCCCTGTCCTGTTGCTCCCCTCCCTCCGTCCCTGGGAGCCAGTCCCGTCCCCTCGGAGCCACCCATCCCCCCTGCCATGCAGGAAGGCAGCGGTAAACAGGCAGGATTCTCCTCCTGAGTGAAAACAGCAAAATAATTCCGCAGTCTTCCCAGACGAGCCCTGCTTAATTGGGTGGCAGAAGCTCTGCCTAATGTTTCCATGGAAACCAATGGGAAAGCCCCCAGCCTTCCTGTGATGGGAAGCTGAACCAGGTGAAAATAAAAACTGCCTCGACGCACACGGATGACCAGCAGTGGGCGGCTCGTGCACCCCTCGCCTCCCCAGGACCAGCCCCCTCTGCCCTCACCCCTGCCTTGCCTGGGCTGCTGATCTGGCTCCCCGGAACTCCTGACCCCCGGCCCCCGCTGGCACTGAGCACACAGCTTGGCTGCACGTCCAGCTTGGTCTGGTGAGAGGCCCTGCAGCAGACCCAGGTCGCAGTCTCCACCCCCACTCCGCCCCATCCTCCCTGGGAGACAGGACCCTGCCACAGCCCCCACGGGCTCCCTCTGGGTCTCCAGGGCCCCTGTCCACGTGCTGCCTGTCTTCACTCCAGCCTTGGAGGGCCCTGGTGCTGGCATCTGCAAGCCAGTCTCTGCTCCCGCTTGCTAGCCTCCAAGCCTCCCTCTGGAAGCCCACTTTCTCTCCCACCCGCTTTGTTCCCGGGAGCTGGGGCGGTCAGCCCTTAGCCAATCCCTGGAGGAAGCAGCAACAGCCCTCAGGCTGACTGCTAGCAATGGGCCTTCCTTAACTGCAGGCGCACTCCCCAGAGAACACAGAGTGGTAGGGGACGTCCACTCTGGAGCCAGACCCCTTGTGTCCATCAGGTAGCCTCCTGGGGCACTGACTGGGCTTGAGCTTCCTCTAGGATCCTTCCCCCTGGCCCCACCATAGGATTCTCCCCACTCAGTGTTGGGAGAAATAAACCTGCCAGCATCATCCCAGGGCTCCAGCACCAGATGGGGTGTGGCCCTCCCCACCAGGGAACAGAAAAGAGAGCCTGGAAAGGAAAGGCCAGAGTTTACCATGTCCATGCTCTCACTCCCAGCAGTGTCCCTGGTGTGCTTGGCATTCGTGTGTCCCCTGGGATGGTCTGAGTCAGTGTTCCTCTGGAAGGAGCAGACTGGGCCAGCTGCCTTCCTGGGAAGAGACACTTAGGAAAGGCATGGAGATGCGCAGGAAGGGCTGCTCTCTGCTGGCCTGGCAGCCTGTGTCTGGGTGGTTGGGTTGGCCTGAGGCTGCAGAGTCAACTGAGGGCGGCACTCTTGGGTTGAATCCAGCTCCTGAAGCACAGGGCGGGTTTCGGACTCCAAATACCCAATCAAGCCAGGTACCATGGCTCATGTCTGTAATCCCAGCGATTTGGGAGGCTGAGGCTAAAGGATTGCTAGAGGCCAGGAGTTCGAGACCAGCTTGGGCAACGCAGCAAGACTAACTACAAAAAAGTAAAAAGTTAGCTGGATGTGGTGGCACACACCCATAGTCCTAGCTAATTGGGAGGCTGAGGCAGACAGGAGGATCTCTTGAGACCAGAAGGTTGAGGCTGTGGTAAGCTATGATCTCACCACTGCACTCCAGCCTGAGTATCAGAAATCCTGTCTCAAAGAAATAAGTAAGCAAATAAATAAGACCCAGTTTGTTGGATCCAACCCCACTCTTCCATCTGCCAGCTGTGTCTCTTGAATAAGTTATTTCCTCTCTTAGCCTTGGTTTCCTGACTTGTAACATGAGGGTACTCATAGCCTGTTGAGAAGCCTGATTTATTTAATGATTGCAAAGCACCTGGTCCTTTCTAAGTGCATGATACACTCACGGTTACTATTACTATTATTTTGAGTCAGAGTCTCACTCTGTTGCCCAGGCTGGAGTGCAGTGGCACGCTCATGGCCACTGCAGCCTCGACCTGCTGGGCTCAGGTGATCCTTCTGCCTCAAGCCTTCTAAGTAGCTGGAACCACAGGCACCCCACCACACCCAGCTAATTTTTTAAATTCTTGTAGGGACGAGGACTTGCCAAGTTGCCCAGGCTGGTCTCGAGCCCCAGGGCTCAGGCAGTACTCTCGCCTTGGCCTCCCAAAGTGCTGGGATTACAGGTGTGAGCCATCGCTCACAGCTTTGTGGTTACTATTATTAGTAAACATTTCTGAGGGCTGGCTACAGACCAAGCCCTTTGCTAGAGGTGATGACATGGATGTAAACAATACAGAAACGGTCCCTGACCTCGAGAACAAAGGTTATAGCAGGGGAAAGAGACAGACAAGCACAACCGTGATTACCTGGGGCTGCAAAGAGGCATACATTCCAGGATGGCTTGGAATGACATTCCAGGTGGTGCTGCCTCTAGCTGGGTGATGGCAGGCTGGGTGAGGTCTAGTGCTGTCCCCTGGCCACATCGGCAGGGCTGGCAGTTCAGTGGACACCTCAGAGGGTTGAGACCTTTCATCCCATGCACCTGGCATCATGGTGATGTAGGTCAGCCTGTTAGAACAAGACTTCTGGAAGGACGCTACAGAAGCCATTTAAACCCAAGCAGACATGCCCTGTGCTTCCTGAGCTAGTGGACATTTCTCCAGGGATTAGAGTTTCTTCCTGGGAAGGCTGTAACCGATAGCATGAATTCATGGTTCTTGTCCGAAGGACTGGCACATGTGGTTGGGGCCCTTGTCTGGAGAATGGATGCACGCGGTTGGGGCCCTGGTCTGGAGGGCAGTACAAGGCAGTGCACGAGGTCAGGGCCTTTGCCTGGAGGGTGGGTACATGTGGTTGAGGTGTCCCAAGAAAGACGTTTCCGCCTGTTTCCACGTTGCATCTGACCCCCTGGAGCCTTTGAAAACAGTCTATCTTTCCACAGTCTGTCTTTTCAGAGATGTGTCTCTCCCACTGTGATCCAGGTAACCTGCTCAGATCCTGTGAGGTGCTTGCAGACGAGAATGCCCCTGGGGATGACCCAGGCCTGTCAGCTCAAATCTCTGTGTTTGTACATATGTGCATTTAAGTCTCCAACCCTCTGCACAGGGAGGGAGAGCAGGAGGAGAAGCCATGCTCCGGATAATGTACCCAACACTTGGCCCTGAACTCACTGCAAGGAGAAGTGGCTGGGCGAGGTGGCTCATGCCTGTAATCCCAGAGAGGTAGAGGAGAGGAGTGCCTGAGTCCAGGGGTTCAAGATCAGCCTGGGTAACTTGGCTAGGCCTCATCATTACAGTGTATATATATATTATAAATTAGCTGGACGTGGTGGTACTTGACTGTAGTTCTGGCTACTTGGAAGACTGAAGTGGAAGGATCGCCTGAATCCAGCAGGTGGAGGCTGCGGTGGCCATGAGCATACCACTGCACTCTAGCCTGGGCAACAGAGTGAGGCTCCAACTCAAAAAAAAAGAAAAAAAACTTAGCCAGTGCGCACCTGTAGTCCCAGTTACTAGCAGGCTGAGGTGGGAGGATGGCTTGAGCCCAGGAGTTTGAGGTTGCAATTAGCTATGATCCCACCACTGCACTCCAGTCTGCGTGACATAGCAAGACCCTATCTTTACATTTAAAAGAGAGGCTGGGCTCAGGGCTCAGCTTGTCATCCCAGCACTTTGGGAGGCTGAGGTGAGTAGCTTGTCTGAGCCCACGGGTTCGAGATGCGCCTGGGCAACTTGGTGAGACCTCGTCTCTACAATAAATAAAAAATTAGCCAGGCATGGCACCATGCACCTGTAGTTCTGGCTACTTGAAAGGCTGAGGTGGAAGGATTGCCAGAGCCCAGCAGGTCGACGCTGAGGTGGCTGTGAGTGTGCTACTGTACTCCAGCCTGGGCGACAGAGTGAGACTCCAAATCAAACCGAGAGAGAGAGACAGAGAGAGAGAGAGACAGAGTGAGAGACAGAGAGAGAGAGAGAGAGAGAGAGAGAGAGAGAGAGAGAGAGATAGAGAGAGAGAGAAGCCACATGGGACGAAGACTACCCCCCTGGACTCCTCCCTGTGCCTCCCCAGGAGCCAGGAGAGTGTGGAGACCAGACCTGGGAGGTGGAGGTCCCCTCTGGGCCAGGAAGAGAGAAGCTCCCCCCTCAGCTGTGTGGGAAACTAGGGCTGGCCGGAGAGTCTGCGGTCCCAGGTCTAGCCCCAAGGAAAGGGTCTCTGAGGCAGCTGCTACAGGCCACCCCTACAGGGCCACTGCCTGGGCCTCTCCCCCAGGAGACTCTGCTGAGTCTTGGTCTCCATGGGGTGGGGCTGGGGGATTGAAGGTTGCATCAGGCCCCAGGAAGTAGCCTTGGTCCCGCAGCAGTCAGGCGGGGCTGGGGACTGGCTACTTTTGTCTGCTGGTTATTGGAAAGTGAGCAGGCTCAGGCCTGTGCGTCGCTGTTACACATGTCACCAAGCCCACAGCAGTGTGCTGCACAGCCCCCACGAAGGATAGGGCCTGATCTTGGAGGAGTCCCATGAGCCGGGGCGATCCAGGCCCTACCCTAGATGGGCAGGCCCACCCAGCTCCCCCTCCCTTCCTCCCTGCACCAGGCCACGCTGAGGTGGCGTCTGCTCTCCCGGGGTGCCTTCTGCTTCCTGCTGTCTGGGTGTCGGTGGCTTCTCCTGCCCTGCTTGGTTGTCACCTGGGGTTGCGTCCTGCCCCTTCTCCTGGCCAGCATGGCCTCTGCGGGGAACCCTCCCCTTCCTGCTGTTCCTCAGTCTTTCCAGCTGGTACCTCCGGCCCCGGTGTCCTCCCCGCTGGGTCACCTTCCTCTGATGCTGTGATGAGCACCTGTTTTCTGGCCCATCCCCTCCTCTCTGCTAGACTGGGGCTCCCTGC